AGGAAATTATTTCAGGAATTCAGTTACGTCTCACATCTACTATCTTTAAATCACAAGGAAAAATATATAGACAAACAGATGGTGTAGCAATGGAATGAATCACCAATATCCCCTATGGTAGCGGATATCTTTATGGACAGCTGGGAAAACATTGCTCTCAATAGAATATTTAATCCTACTCCGAAAATATGGTGGAGATATGTGGATGACTGACACCTTCACAGTGTTAGAAACAGAACAAATCTCTAGCTTCTTGACACATATAAACTCCCTAGTAGAGAGAATAAAATTCACATTTGAATCGGAAAATGAACAAGGAGAATTAGCTATGTCAAACTGTAGATTGGAGAGAGAGGTTGATTACTGAATCCTACCTGGTTCATCGAGTCTACACCCAACACGTACAGTAGGATGCAAAGACTCATCACTCATACCGGAAATATGGAAAATATTACTAACAGTCGAGTCAAGCGATGAACTGAAATGATGGAATTATATAAACGAAGTTAGAAAGTTGTGTGAGTGAGTGACTTGATATGATTATGAGTGGCAATAAATTATGCTGTAAACGTGGTCATCAGTAAATGTTACTGTATAACACTGTGAGACTTCATCAAAATAAATTTCATCCATAATGGAATTATACTCTACCAGCACAGTGCACAAGTTTTATTCTTATAGCTCCTCTTAATTATACGCCTGACTGATCACTTCTGATTTGGGTTACACTCATTGGCGTGATAATGACGCCACTCAACGGTCTTTTAAGCGTATGTTCAACTGATCTCTGTTTCTTTCTGCATGTTTGTCGGGCGATAGGTTTTTGTTTGGTTCGCTTTACTGTCAGACTTCCTTGCTGTTTTTATCTTTCCACGAAGGACATCTCATCTTCAATATCCAAAGATGCTTTTCAAGGCACCCTCAATTTCTCTGATATAACCAGTTAAGAGAATTGAAGGATAAAATAGTCATTTATTAGACCAAAAAAGTTAAATTAAATAGAGGTTTAAATCTGTTTTACTACAGTAAGCCACTAATTCCATAACAAACAAATTAAAATGGTTTTATTTCTATCATCAATTAACTTTTATGGCATCAGACAATTACATCAGACAAGCGTACTGAGTGAAATAATAAAAATATGTTCTTCTTTTGTTTATTATTACATTTCTTTATTAAAAGTGCACACACATATATGAAATTTTGATTTCAGTTAAACAATGTTTTCTCACATTGAAAAATTTAAAGTCACTAAAGCTTTTGTTTTACTAGATAGTTTTTTGTAGCCAACTATTTAAGAATGAAATACGCGTTTAAAATGTAGCGAAGCATGCGCAATATGATTCCTTCTTATTTTGATTTAAAAGAAGTTAGGGAAATCGAAGTTATTCAAGTCACAGTGTATGTGACCTACTTGATAGCATAAATGACAGTCAAGAAAGCAAGAATGAATGAATGGTGATATATAATACTAATTTATTGATATAAGTAGTTGAATACCACTCATGTTAACAAATAGTACTTTGCTAGCCAGATAGAAGAGTTTTAAAGACCACGTGACCATATCATCTATTTGGAATAAAAATCATCGGCAGTGAATTGGTTCGACTCATGTCAGACACGTCTTATATCATACCCACTCGAAGACCTACAAGTTAAAATCAACAAGGTTGCAAGAATAGGCAGAGAGGATAGGATTTCAAGTGAGCGTGGAGAGGACAATGGTGATGAAGATAACAAACCAAGACTCTTTTCAACGAATTTATTATCAACCTTTACAATCGTATATATATACATATATGGTTTTTAAGAAGTTATAACCGGTGAGGAAATTGAATCTTAGGTGTGAATGCATAAAATAATAAAAGTAGTATGAAATGCACCCAAGAAAATACTGTACGTCGCTTTGAAATTAAAAGGTGACTTGGCTTCCGATATCATGAAAAGAAGGATATCAGAGTCCCCGAAAAAAATTCCCTGCCAACTCTGTGTGAGTTTGTCAATTCACCTGCTCGTGTGGAGCTAGATATATCGGTCGTTCCAGTAGAGTTTTGTTTAAGAGGGTGCAAAAGCACTATCCTGAATGGTTAACAAGAGGTGGAAGTGGAGCCATAAGCAGCGCGATCATTGAACATCTGGTCGATAATGATCACCCTGTCTCTATAGCCTCCGCCTTCAAAGTCATCTACAAGACGGAAAGTAATTTACCCGAATCCCTACGTACCCAACTCATCTATATTGCTGGAGCCATCTTTGGCTATCGAAACAGAAAAGCCTGATCTCTGTGTACAGAAAAAGTTCGTCCAGCGCCTCCAACTTTCATTGTCTCAATCCTTTTTATGCATGCTAGAGTATGATAATCCCTAATCATATTTCGGCTCTACCAATTTTTAAGTTTTGTCTATTCAATTTGTATACTCTTACTTTATAACGTCAATTGTTACTATTACTATTCTTACTTCGAATTGTTCCACTTGTTATTCTAAATTAATTCTGTTCGGCAACGTTAAATTCTATGCTATCAAGTCTCACACAATATTACCTGACGTTTTTATCTTATTTTTTTTGGTTACAGCTTGATGCCAAGCCGTATTTTTAGTACAAGTATGGAATTTTCAGCTTTGATATCGGTAGCCCAAATTTTGCAGGCCAACCATTAATATCGGGTGTGCGTCGGCAGGGGATCAAACCTCGGACCATGTGCATAGTCGGCGAGAGTCCTAACCACTGTGCCACCGACGCAATTTGTCTACTAATTCTGTAATTTCACAGCCCTTCCAAGTTCTGTACATCGTATGAATTATTCTACATATGACATGAGTTGTTTTGCCACTTGACATTTAACTATGATTTTAATCACAAACATTTTAATTGCATTTCATACTATTATTGCTATTTTATGCATTCACACATATGGTTCAATTCCCTCACAGGATATAATCTCTTAAAATCCAAATATATATGATTGTACAGCTTGATATTAAATTCGTTGCTGAAAAGAGTCTCTTCGCTGAATCACTTGTTTTGATTTTCTGTGTTACAATGGGAAGTTTCCATGAACTAACCAAGAAGCATCAAACACTATGGATGGTACAATTGTAAAGGACAGCCATTATGCTGAAATCAATATGGAAACTTATTGTATTTAGCATAGGGAACAAAAAAATCGAATCAGTGATTCCATATGGTTTGGAGACTTTGTGAGAATGTGACGTAAGGTATATTCAACAGGTAATTTAAACTTTTATCAAAAGCTGTATTCTTTGGTTCTATACTGAAGATCAAATAGCCAGAAGGGATAAGTGATAAGAGACTGTGAAAATGAAATAATCAACAACCTTGTGTCTAATAAATTCTTATGTTCTCACAGACAATCTGACTACCCCGCCCAATCTACTAGTTTCACCTGTGTAGTTAGAAGTTGACTTACCTCGCAATCATTCCAAGGTGCTTTGTAAATTTTACTATTTTGTCTAACTGCGTCAACCTACAAGGTCTTTTAAACCTACACACCTTATCCTATGTGAGTGAGTTTTTAGGTTTAAATGCCACCAGCCTAAATCCTACTTAATTAAGAATCCTACGCAGCAATGGTTTCAGATATCATCGCCTTGTTCATAGAATCTACACCCCACACGTGTAATAGGATGCAATGACTCCTGTCTCAGACCAGTAACATGGAAGGAAATGCTACCACCAATCATCAAATCAAGAGGTGAGAAACAAGTGGAATCACATAAACGAAATTGGGAAGTTCTGTGAGTAGTGCTTTTATATGAATATGAGTAACAATGATAAACTGTACTCGAAACGTGTTCATCAGTAAATATTACTGTATAACAAACACTGTGAGACTTTATCAAAATAGATGTTCTTCACAATGGAATTATATTCCACCACAGCTCATAGGTTCTACTGTCCTCTTCAGCTGGGTCCACGATTGCACATAGTGTCTCACCTCCTCCTTCTACTTACCCCACGACCTCTTCCATAACACCCTTGCACCGAAGAAAATGGCAATAGACTGAGAATAAGCTGAGACATATCAAACGTCATGTAGGCTACCGAGTGAACCCGAATGAGAGATGAAGAGTTGAGAGTGATAATGAGGATTGACATGAAGGAGTTGGTTCGAGGAGAAAAGGGAAGTCCTAGGGTGGATTATAAGGCCAAGAAAAACAGGTCACAAAGGTAGAATGCTCACCAACCAGGCCTCATGTGTGTCAGGGTTCGATCCTCGGCCATAGACGCACTCAATTACCTTGCTAAGCCAGTAATAAGACATGAGGTCAGCAACCTCGCTGCGTAAAAACAGACACCACTGCTACCGAAACTTTGAGCCATTAGCTTGAAGCCTTATGTTCCGTTGACATGTCTCAGCCTGATCGTAGCTGTTGAAGTCGTTTTTAAGGCAAAGCGCTGTGTATTTCTCTCCTAACTCTTTTTCAATAGTGCCATATTCTTATTTGATCTCCGTATATCTTTCAGGAGCGTTACAACTCAAACGGACCAGGTATTTATTGAGTCAGTTCTTTGCAGCTGAGTGTTCGCCAGTCTCCTCGACGTACTCCTAAATCTCGATTAGTTTACCACCCGGTAGTAAGCTTGGAAAATCGATACTATAGCTAGAGAAACCTCAAAAACCTTCAATCCTTGTGTTCCACTCATATGTCAAGGAAAGAAAAACGCATAGTAGCAAATAAGTGAGATCTTCTGATGCATTCCAATTCAAGTATTCGTTTATATTTTCTCGTTGCTGCATATTACGAGAGTCTGATTCCCGGATGTCTTTCTAACTCCACAATAACACAATGAATTAAACAGTTGCTCTCATTTGACTGGTATTCTGAGAAGCTAAAGGTTTACCAAATCCACACAAAACTCACTCAATCAATAGAAGATATCATCAAGAACGTTACAGAGTAATGCAGTTCTGGATTGATATTAAAAATCCAATAAACTGTTTTATTGTAATCAAAACAAAATACTGTGTAACTTACACTGACAGGTTTTACGATCTTCCGATGGTTCAAAGCCTTCATTACATATACATTCATATGAAGTACCTCGAGGGATACACTGTCCATTCTTACATACAGAAGATTTATATAATTGGCATATATCAAATTGGGGTTCATTGTCTTGTAAGCCTGAAAACAAAATCGGAAACACACATTGATTATCAACACAGAAAAATTTGGCAAATACACGATCTCAACATTTGTGGAAACACACATATCCACTGTTCTGATGTGAATAATCGCTGAAGGGTTTTAACGGAGGTCCATCTGACTTTTCACCTTGAACTGGGATAGCTTGCAAATGAAGAATTTGATTTGGCGCAGATATTTCTAACAAAAATTCTACTTCCATCCCATTGGTTTTGAAAGATTCGAAGAACTTCTCTACCGCTTTATTTGAAATGTTAGCAGCCTTCCCACCTTCAAACATCGTGCAGGCAATGCCATGTCTTCAGGCCTAATGACGGCCTCATTTAGGGAAGACATATGGGCTGACTGGCTTTCTGAAAGTTTTCACCACACTGTGTCAGTTCGTCTGTCTGTGTTTTAAAGTCCCTATTGTGATTAGATGTATTTCCGCGGAAAAGTCGCTGGCCTCGAGCATGACCTTCACTCTTTGTCCAAGCTCAGAGCCGGCTGGTAAACTAGAGAACTAGTAAACTGAGGGATGTTCAACCTTCAGTGGACTATCAAATGTTTTCAAGTATTGGTTTTGTAGGGATTTCGTTTGACTGGTTGGAGGATTTCATCATGAGCTGACATCAGTTAGAGAACCATTGGATAATCATGTAGAAGCGCTGGACAGCTGTTTCGTCCTCGTTTGAGACTCTTCATCAGTACGCACCCACCAAGAGTGTTCGGAGCCGGGACCTTCTAGTCACAGGGCGAGCTAGCTCGTAGACCATTCAGCCACTGGGACCTGATCCAATGGCCAGCCAGTGCATGAATTCTAACTTCTGCTAATTCATGACATAGTGCGACCACTTGGCAATGTTTTCTTCGATGAGTTACTGATAAAGAGAGTCAAAGTAGGACGAAACAGCTGTCCAGTACTCTTAGCTGGTTTTCCAGTGGTTCTGTAACTGATGTCAGGTCATGATGAAATTCTCCAACTAATCAAAAGAAGCCTAAAACCTTATGCTTGAAAATTGGTCTGATGCGCAGTAGCGGCTGTCCCTATTCAGGCAGTTGCCTGCGGTTCAAGTGGGAAGCCGTGACCAACAGGGCACATCAGGCTAAAGGTGAGGCAGTAAATCACTGAAGCTGACATTTTCAAGTGGTCGCACTATGTCATGAATTGGCAGAAGTTAGAATTCATACACTAACTGGCCACTGGATCATGTCTCAGTGGATTATTGGTCTACGAGATAGCTCGGCTTGCAGACAGATGGTTCTTGGGTTTGAACCACGGCAATGAGTGAGTACTGATGAAGAGTCACAGGTGTTCCAATGGTTCTCTAAATGATTTAGAATATTTACCTAAATTGTATTGTGAACGGCAAAATTTTCCATCTGAGTGATTAGACTCGTTGAGTTTAACCAACGGTTACTTCGTTCCATGCAATCAATACATGTACAAGATGATGTTCGAATGAAGTTTTTAGGAGTGCCCCCATTAAGCGATTTGACTGTTGGCGTATTTCATTCATTCATGACTGTTGATTGATGATCTTAAATAATAAACCATTTTCGTGTCTGAAAACACCTTCCCAGGATTTTGTGGAAGTATAATGCATTCACATATTAATAACTGTTTGTTTGTAAGTGCTGGATCGCAGGTATCACGATCAGACTCCAAGGAGTACTGGACATCTGTCTGCTCCCTCGTTTTCATCTCTTCGCTAACTGAAGTTCGTGTGTAATCAAGCTGCAAATGTACTAAATCCCTAGTTCTCATTGGTGATCGACCACAGAATATGACTGCCACAAGTTCTAGTGTGGTGTCATGACCATTTGGGACCCAGCAGTTTGAGTGCGTGGATAAAAAATTGCCGACTACATTGACTGTCAGCCGCGCTTTACAACTCTAATTGACAAAAAAGAGAATTCATGGACCGCCTGGGGCACACTGAGGTCCTAGGTTCAATCCCTGACTGGTTGAATCATGGGTACATGCAGATGAGGAGTTTCAAACAAGGATGAAACAGCTGTCCAGTAATCGCTATTGGTCAGCTTTCATGATCAATAAAATTTTCCACTTTAATCTAATCCATTTCTAAAGTTGTTTTTTCTTACAAAGTGACTAAATTAAATCAGCATTCACTGCCCAACAAGATTATTCACCATACTATTCATGACCAATCTCTTACAGACATTTATTTATATTTACAAGGTAAGAAGATGTACATTTCTTTTTGTAAACACTTCTCATTTTGTAAATAAACATTTGTCTGTATTGTTACTGTTGTTTGAATTGAATCAGCCTTAGGTGGCTGATCTCAAAGTAAATATTAACAGACAATAGAATGAATCATAATTCTCAGTCATCGCAAAATTCAAAACACTGTCTTGTCCATAAAAATAAATAAAATATTAGTTAGTCAAACTCATTGAATCATTAATATATTTATTTACAAGTTCAATAGTTAGTCAGATTTCCGTTTTAGTGTACAAGAATCTACCTTATTCGATAGTCTGATTACTATAAGGAGACTAAATTAATACAATGAATTTAATTCAAGCTTCCTATCAAATAAAAGACATTTTAAGAAGGATTCTTGTATTTTCTATCGAATCTTTGAGTTCAGAATAATCAATTCGTGTCTACCTGCTCCGTATACAAAAAGCCTACATGGAATGGACAATTCATCAATATTCAAAGATTCGTGTCCCTAAGCAGAAAGAGGAACCTGTTATACGCTTTCTCCTCGAGGATTTAGAAGATTTGCAGCGAGGAAGTGACTGACGAAGAAGTGTGTAATCTCCAAGGAACCTCGACTGATACAGGTTTTCCGCCTAGGTTCACTAACAAGAATCTAAAATCAAAGAAGACTTCTGAACAAGTCCAATCCCTCCTGAAGAAGATAATTGTGCTTAATCTAGAATTCAAAGGTGACATTGAAGCAGAAATCCTTCGTTGACGCCTCTCCAAATCTCTGAGGAAAACATACTTCGCCGGAAGCCTACAACTGACATTTTTCTGCAAGAAATTGTTCAGCCAGAATGTGAAAGACAAGCTGTTGCATTGGACCACTTCAGATTGCATATATCAGTTTAATTGCTCGTGCAGACCTGAGTACATCGGCTGTGCCATGCGTCAACCTGAAAAATGCGCTCGTGAACACTATCCAGCCAGGCTAGTACAAGGAGAACGAAAACGTGCATATAGTTCAGTGACAGAACATCTAATCAATTCAGGACATTCAGCGCCATTGGAGAAATCACTCAAAATCATATATAGGATTCGATCAAACCTATCATAGGGAGTAAAATTAATACATCTAGGCATAGCCGAGGCACTAGTTGTCCAAAAGCTAAAACCCACTTTATGTATCTAAAAGAAATACGTCCAACCCTTGTGCCTGCCATGGTCATCATCTTTTAGTGGTGATTATCCCATTGCATTTCTTATCCAAACTTCCTGTTTATTCATGATATTTTAAGTTTTTCTGAATCCGTATTTACACTTCCATACTTTCATATCGGAACTTCCTGTCCAATTTGTCATTTTATCATTTCTACATATTTAATCCCTGATTGCATTAGTTATGATCCCACTAGATTTTCTTATCCAACCATCCTGTCTATTTTTGTTATTTGTATATTTCTAACCCCTAATTGAACAATCAGTGTCAATCTTTTTGCTATTTTTTGAGTTTTATCCGTCCCTCTGTTTATTATGCCATTTTGATTCCTAATTGTAATTTTATTAATTTGACCCTTAACCGGAAATAATTCTAGAACTTTCTCACCGATTTATCATAAATACACGAATGTACAGCCTGGTTGACGGTGACTTCGTCGAAAAGAAAATTTTCTTCGCTGAAACAGTCTTTTTATTAATTCCTATGATTCAATGTGTATATTCCGTGAACAAAATATGGATAATAAGGTTTGTGCAGGTGGTGATTAGAGTGACAAAGGTAGTAGTATGTGTAGATGTAGACAACTCAATAAATAAATTAGGTCAAATCTTGAAAGTTACGCAATACTAAAGGTGGATTGGACAGATAATCCGAGTTTAAATAAATATCATAAAAGTACGAAGGAGATGGAAGATAAGAAAGGATAGGAGGGTTTTGATTAGAATTCATCTAGGCCAAGAGAGAGAGGCAAAGGTAGAACAAACGTCCTTAGTATGCAAAGATTAGAACTGTTCCCATACCTCCGGTTATTTATAAAAGTTGGGTTCAAATTCCGTTCGGAATGCTCGATGGAATGCGATAGATAACTTTGAAGGCGTTTCTTCTTCTATCCACTTGGTGACCACTATCAATCAAATGAGCCAAAATAGAACTTCTTATAGATTTTATTTGACCTTTTCCGAACCATGAAGGAAGATGCTCAGTAATGATGCGTTTGTTAAGCTGTCTAGTTGTTCCCCCTATATAGCTCTCTCCACAGGAGCAACTAAATTTATAGATACACACATAGAAGTGGCACAGCTAACAATTATGCCAAAAACCGCTTCGCTTATCGATTCCCTAGTTATATGAAAATGTCATGGTATAGATTACATAATCATTTATTTACTAAAGTGCTGAGAAATTATTGAAATGTTGAAATTGAACAGTTTCTAACCCTTTCAATGAAAACAGCAATATTAATAATAATAAAAAGAGCGAAAACCTTCGGGAAACTAGTTCATTTACAGCATGTGAGTTTGTGATACTTAGCTAATTATGTTTTTTTTTTTTGAAAATGTCAAAGTTTTAACCCAAGTGAAGTGTGTTGAAATAGGAATACATTCAAAATAGCATCTTTTCGAATCGCCTGTCAGCTGGTTATCATATAAGCATCTGGTAATAACTATTTTTCAACCCCTTGCTAACAAGCTGATGATATTTCGGCTATAGTTAAGAAGGTTCTTGAAATGTCATCTATGCGCAGTAGGATAAGTAAGTGATAAAGACCGAACAGTTTTGTTTGTTGTAAAGAAAACTTAAGTGTTATTTGATGAATAAGGTCTGGCAGTTTAATCACGGATGAGGGTTTTATTCTCTGTTTTCGTGACTCATCAGTAGGATGTACCTACATCTCTAGTGAGTGACGGCAGTCATGATTTTGAAACCCACTCCACCTGTCAATGTTGGGGCAAGCAGGTAGTATCACTAGCCCCCTCATACTCACAATAGGCGTGGCCCATTGCCGCCGACTGCATTGAACTGCAGTTGGTTATTGCGTATGTAGTTGTTGTTGGTACATAGAGCCTTATATTCGCCATTATTATTATGATATTATTTTCTTGGGTTCTGAGTGTAACATAGTGCTTCAACAGCATATCTCAATTTTGTCCTGTTTTCTGGAGTCTTCTTCAGCTTGCCCCACATTTACCCATAGGCTTTCATCTCCTCCTCACACGATCTCCTCCACATCACACTTGGACGCAAAGCTCGTCATTTCCAAGTCGTGTACCACTCGAGTAATAACTTGGTACGTGATTTCATCTAAAGGTGTGGTCTCCTCAGCGTGTGCTTAATCCATCTTTATTTTCTTCGGCATATTTGTTGAACACAATAGCTCCTTGATTGGTTCGTTCCCAGAGTTTCTCGTTAATAATTCTTTCTGGCCATCCAATTTTAACCATACTTCCTTTTATCTTGGACGCCACTCATCTGCGTTAATTTATCCTCCTACAATCATGTTTACAGGTTGTTCCCTCTCTTCACCTGTTGTGTTGTTTGCTGTTTTCAAAATGCACTACTAATCCTAAGTTCTACGTTGATTTCTTCAAATATTCTGCAACATCATGACGGTTAATCTCACAACAAGTGGAGACACTGCGTGTTACCAGATTTTCGTAACTTTCTCACATAGGTGGTCGTTAAATGAAATATCTTTCTGCAAATTAACATGATGTAGGAAGACCAAGAAAGATCATAGGGAAATCGCACTGCTTCATCTCTTCCCCCTTTTTTGATGGTTCTGCTGGTACCAGTCAGAGATAAGCCACTTATGCAGCTGGGTGCTGGGTTCGAACCCCTGTGGTGGGCGTGTACTGATGAAGAGTCCCAAACCAGCTCACGATGAAATCCCCTAACTAATCAAACAAAATTCCTTACGAAACCAAAACTTGAAAAATGAAATGTTCAACTGAGATGGAACTCATACAACTATGTTTTACAAATTTACGAATAGATAAAATGAACACACTGATATCAGTCCATGATCAACTAGTAAAAACATAACAAACCCTTACAAACCAAACTATAGAAAACCAATGGGATCGCCCATATCAGGATTAATAGCTGCAGCCGTCATGCAAACATTAGAATTAATAGCTCTACCTATATTCAAACTCAAAGTCTGGGTACATTACGTTTGTAATATTTAAAAGAAATGACCAGCAAAATAAATAAACAACATATGTGAAGACATAAAATTCAAAAGAGAAGAAGAATTAGATAATAAAATCTCATATTTAGATGTCCTAATCAGGAGAACTAACACAGGAAATTTAGAAACTCAAATATATAGAAAATCAACGCACACAGATCAAATACTCAACTATACTAGCAATAATCCAATTATTCACAAAGGAAACTGTATGTAGACATTGTTCAAAAGAATTCAAACACACTGTAGCACTCCAGAGTTGAAAAGAATAGAAGAAAAATACCTAATAACGGTCTTCAAAAAGAATGAGCATCCTCTTAATTTCATCAAAAAGTGTTTGAACTCGAGTCATAACACCAACAACAAGAAACCATCACCAAAGACCACTGAAACATTCATCCTACCATATATAAATAATATCTCTGAAATAACAGCTAAAATAGTAAAGCCATTTAAAATAAATGTAGTGCACAAGCCAGCCAAATCACTTCATTCGATATTGTTCAAACGAAAGGATTCAACAGATAAAGAAGATAAAACTAATGCCATTTACAAATTGACTGCGTGAACTGAGATAAACACTTCACTGGTCAAAGTGGGCGTCTTCATTGATGGTGTTGCAATGGGAAGTCCGTTACGGCCCCTTTTAGCAGACATCTATATGTCGTACATTGAGAATTTATCAGAGGATTTAATCAAAAATGTGCCACTTTATATAAAGGTTTGTAGATGATATTGTAATCATAAGTGATAAGTCTTGTTCTGCCACCTAAGTTTTAAATCGATTGAATGAAGTCCAGAATAGCATATCACTTACATCTTTCTGTAGAAGAGGAAGATAATTGTTTATCTTTCCTAGACATATTGCTAAGTCGATGGTCTACCTGGACAGGACAGTATCTTAATTATCACAGTTTCTGCCCTGTTCGGTACAAAAGAGCCTTAGTGAGCGAGGTGCCTCTTCAGTAGAATCCAACAAATATGCACTGAAGACACACTTGATGAAGAAGAAAGAAAGTTGATACAAACTCTGGTTGATAACAATTATCCAGACAAGTTCATCAGGAGATATAAAGTAGTCAGAACACCAAGACCCATTCTCCAACTCGCCTCTAAGAAAGATATGTACACCAAGCTACCCTATATGGGGCATCATAGCAGCTTAATAACTAGACAAAGACTGAACGCTGCTGTTAAAAAGACGAATTTTGAGAATGTCAAGCCAATATATCCATCCACCCTTTGAACATGCGAAACATTATGTCACATCCCACTGTATTTACCACTTTGAACGTACGTGTGAACACACATACGTAGGGAGGACTCATCGATCTCTGCAAGTTGAGGCTGGCTTCAGAGCATATTCTTAAATGGCTCCAGAAACAAATAGAATCTTCAGAACCCATTAAAGTGGAGAACGAGAGACCTGGCTTCTCTATAGCAAAATATATTATAGAGACAGGACATAAAATTGACGTTAACACATCCTAAAGTTTCTGGGAGCGCTAGCTAGCAATCAGAAAGTTTCAACCGTCTTTATGCTTTGAAAGCAACAATTCGTCATCA